GCCAACAGTGTGCCCTTGCTGCAAAGAAGGCTAAAAGCATATTGGGCTGCATGAGTAGGAATATTGCCAGCAGATCAATTCAAGTGATTCTTTCCCTTTATTTGGCACTGGTGAGGCCACATCTTGAGTACTGTCTCTGGTTTTGGGCCCTCCAGCATAGAAAGGATGTGGACAAATTGGAGAGGGTCCAGTAGAGGGCAACAAAAATGGTTAGAAAGTTGAAGAACATGTCCTTTTATCATGGGAACAGCTACGAAGCCCAGGCGATGGAAGCCTACATGTTTCTGGAGCAAAAGAAAGGTTCACTCTCATCAAATGTCAGATAAGCTTTCATTTGTTTTTGTGATCTTAGAAATGATCCATTCAGATCTTTCAGAAACAAGCAGGCTACATGCTACTAGGCATTTTGTTAACAAGTCTCTTAAATAATACTCTCCCTTTTCTCCCCTCATTAAAATTCTCTCTGCTCCTATCTTTGAGCTGCTTTAATCATTACAGATGACACCCTCTCTTCTCTCCGGGTATATCTACATTGTAATCAGAGGTGCCATTGCAGCCTGAAAAAGCTACCTAGCTATCTATCAGGGCAAGGCAACAGTGAAGACGTGGTGGCATGGACTTCAGCCTAGGCTAACAGATGAAGTATGTAATCTAGGAAAGTGTGTACAGCATGTCTGGAAGCCTGTTCTGCCATGTTGTCATTGCTGTTGCCACCTGTGTGACAGCAACTATGGGCATATGACTACTTACGTCTTGCACTGAAGTGTAGATGCACACTCAGTCTGCAGAGCCCAAATCTCTTTAGCTTTTCTCCCACAGAAGTGAGGATGCTATACATTTTGCTATCAATAAATGACATGGTAAGCAGGCAGATTTGCAGCAGAGATTTTTATTAATAACTATGTAACATAACCAGTGGTCCATGCTGCGGCTCTAGAGTTTGAGTGAGAGATTTAGCTTGCATTCCCTATTACCCTGGTGTCGCACCAAAACTAGGTCCCTTCTGAGACATGGCCTCCCTTCTCCAATTTCACTCAAACTACAGTGACCTCCGCCAAATTGCTTATTTTCTACAGCCGAAAGAATTTGCTTCAAGCTCGTTTCTTCCCTGTGGCCAAATGAGCAAAACTAATCAGAGCTATAGAACAGAAGTTCCACTTTTGGATACACTGGAGGGGAGGGGGGAAGTTACTTGGCAGCACCTATTATTTCTCCTAATAACTCTGCCTATGAAGAATTCACCTCCACAGAACTCTTTTGGAGGAAACAATGGAACTGAAAAACTGTAAATGCGACAGCCACATCCACTCTTCATGTTTCCTAGGAAGATCTTGGTAGCCTAGATGTTTTTAAATGGCGTTTTCATGCTTCCTGAGACAGATGGCAAAATCTGTATATTTGGATCCTAGCTCTAGCCTTTTTATGATGGTCACTCACCATATAAAATGTAAGTCCCCAGCGGTTTGAGGAGGCTGAGGCCTTTTCCAGTATTTTCTCCACACAGACAATCCAGAACAATATCAACTCCTTCTGATGAGATTCTGAAGACACAGGAAAAAAAAATGTTGCATTTCAACAGGACTCAAAGCATCATCTCAACTTGCACATTGTCTACACAGCAGCAAATGGTGTTTGGCAGGTTAAGGAGGAATCTAAGGCTAGGATTTTCATGAGGGATTGACAATTTTGAGAGCTTCATCTATAAATATCCCAACCCAAGACATTTTTAATTGGGCCTTATTTTCAGAGAGAGTTGAGCATTCAGAGTCTGAAAATCAGGTATCTCTGCTTGTACAACAAAAATGCTGCTGCACTGAAAAGAATCATGCCACTTTTGACTAACCTGGCCAAAGGTATTGATCCTGCCATATTCAGTCATGCTGTGGTAACTAGTAGCTTACTGAACAATTAAACCTGTTGAAATGCATGGAGCTACTTGCACAGAAATGTATAAGGCAAAGCAAGTCAAGATGTCAGAAATTGGCTCCAAAACTACCACATCACACTAAGGTGACATAAGTAATTAGGTGAAAAGTATTCAGTAAACATCATAAGTACACTTTTTTCTATGTTATGTAATAATAATAGCTGTTTCCTCTTATGTTAGCAGTTCTGTGCAGGAAGATTTAGTGACTTCTAGAAGTTTTTTTGTTTTTGTTTTTTTCTTAAGGTATTTTCAATCTTCAAAAAAAAAAAAAAAAAAAAAAG